ATGTCGCAAGTTCCGAGAAAAGTCTGACTGAATCCGACAGGAAGAGTGGTCAATATATACGCGAGATTAGTATCGGTTTGTATATAGAGTTAATACTCACGCATACTATGGTTTCAGAATGGTTAAGACTCGAGCCAAGTCACCGGTCAACATGACTGCACACAGACATCAGGTACTACCATGCAAAACAAGTCGGAAAGCGCCGAGGGAGTTCTCTGGCGCGTCTCTCAAGCCCGGGGCACGACGAGACACGGTCCCGGAGGGCGAAAAATGGTCTTTCCAAAAGCAGGAGAGATAATACAAGGCGTGATATTGCGGTAGACCGTGTCATCGTAACTACGTTGGTTCTAGTCGTTGTTGTCTGCGGTACTCATTTCTTCGGCCAGTGTTGCGACCTTTGACCTAGGTGCCCCGTGACACTGTGCATCAGTAGCTAGTACTGTTATCAAACGATCAGCTTTGCAGTTTTTTCTGTTATGGTACACTGTCATACTGAGGCGGTAAGGTAGGTATCTCAGCGTGCCAGTCCCTCTCATCTTGACACAATGTGTCTCAGTTTGATCACTCTTGAGACGGAAATATTTGATGCTCAGAGCCTCGCTGCGTAAGATACCCAGGCATAATCTACGCGTGTCAGATTGTTGCCGCTCGTTGTGAAGATGGCGAGCAACAGCCACGTGTGGTAGGATCCCGTACATACGTACCGCGTTTCGTTATTTCTCTTTCTCTCAGTCGCTTCGTTCACGCAGTGAGGGTATGTCTCTATAGTACTATACGTATACCACCTACTTACATACGTACAGGAGTTTGCCTATCTGCTATAGGCATCAACACAGATAATGCGTAAGTACCTATGGCCTCGGCGATGCATTAACCGCAGGCCTATGTCCAAGTATAAAATTTGAATGTATGTTCTTTGTAATAAAAATGCTATGAAAGGTGTTCTCTTCACGCTGTCAAGCGCAGCACTGTACCTAAGCCGGTCTCTGACAATATGAGGTCTAGGATATGGTTGTTCCGCTTTAGCAACTGACAATTGTCTGAGAAAAGGCCCTCCGACACGCGCCCTTCAAGTTCAGTTTTTGTTAAGGGCTAGACACGTTTATGCTTATAAGGCGTCGAGAATGATGGCCTGATGTCAGCGGCAATGAAATCGCGCTCGTATGACGTGAACGGGGCGCGACGTGTGTCAGGGTGACGTCGGCATGCGACTCGGGCGGGTTGGCGAGGAGAGTGGCCGCGCCGTGAAGAGGCCAGTGGAGAATGTTGATAGGTGCGACGAGGATCAGAGCCCAACAAGGCGAGTAAGAGGCGGGTGAAATCGGCGGGGTAGTAGAGATCGCGGTGCAACAGCGCGGCGTGCGCGAGCCTGCGACGCGCTCGGCGGCAGTCTAGGCGGTGTATATGCCGCTGCGCGAGTTCTGTGCGCAGCAGAGGCGCCCCGAAGCTGGTGAGCTCTGGTGAGGTGGTGGTGTGGTGCAACGCGGACGGTTACTGCGCAAGAACGGTGGGTCCGCCGTCGCGTGCCGAACGCGAACGACAGAGAGGCGGGTTCTCGACGCAGGCGGAGCCGCCGGCGTCTAGAAGACAGGTGGACGGGTGGGAGGCGCGGACGGGGCCGCCGGCGCCAGTTCGAACACGGCGGATCGAGATTTGAGTGGAAGAAGGCGGACGGGATTATCGTCGGCGTGTGGTGAGGCGCGCGGCCGTGTGGAATATAACCATACAGAGCAAGTTTAAGAAAAAGTGTAGGCTTGCCTGGCGTGGCAAACCTCATTAAGCAAGAATAAGGCAGAGAAGGAGAATCACACGCAGAGATAAACAAGAATCTGCATGGGATTCGGAACGAAAGAAGAACATGTTAGTACAACATGCGAACGCGAGGTACATATACATTTCCGAAGCGTGGGAGCAGCTGTCAGTGTCATGGTTGTAAGCCATAGGCTTACACGTAGCAGGTTAGAGACCCCTTTGTTCTAGAAATGCGCTTTTTGATACCATCTGTCGTGAGATACCAAAATATAGTCAGCTCAATCGTGCAGTCGCTCTGCTCAGATACCGTGGAAGGCAACCGAATCCGAAGGAGGGTACTTGACAGGGTTCACAGGTATTTGAGGCATGTGCTCTGTATATGACTTTGCGCAGACTCTGGATGGGATAGTGTTCTTCCGTTCGATGATGCGCGCACCCATTCTATGGGAGTATAGCTAATTCGGAGAGGTTGTGTGCGGCGTCGTTTTCATAAATTCCCTTCCGTCAAATCCCCAACTGCTATCCTTCATGAGCTCTTTTCCTAGAAACAAAGTGTTACGTTCCCGTTTCGCTTTTGGGGCTACAGAGCCGCCAATATGCCTGTCAGCAGAGGATGGCGCAGCTCGTGTGGAGGTCTGTTATGGCGCTGCTGTCTTTCTTGGCAGCCAGTATCACGTCCGTCACTAAACTCCTTGAGTTTCCTATTGATGCTGCCGAAGGCACTATGGCTCGATGCAAATCTGAGTTGAAAGGTGAGCTCGCTCCCACAGAACGTCAAACAAACCATTAAAGACGTTCCGCACTGTTGCCACGACAGGCCGTCGGGCGGCCATTTTGAAGCGATAGTAAACAGGAGTGGAGCATCCGGAGTCGCTCTTCGGTCGATCGCTCAACGCCGTGTGGGAAATGCCTCAATTTCAGAATTTGGCCCTGTGTGGATGGGAGGTACGGATGACCACCTGATTGCCGAGGCTGAAACAACAAGTCTCATCCCTGAACTTCTGATTAGTAGTGGGTAGTGTGTGCCTTGGCATTGTCAACCGTGTGCTTGCATGAGGGAATCGGGCTGATGGGGTAGAGCACCAGTAGGCTATGAACACTATCCATTCAAACGAGCGCCGTTGACGCGCAAAAGAGCCGTACTGTCTTGACATGCATATCGGGTTATAACGAAGATCGATCTGAGGGATTTCATCAAGTTCTCAGACAGCACAGCGTGTGAAAGAATACGGCACGAAATTTGGGACCCAAAGCAAAGGTACCAGTATCAGATGTCATAGCGGAAAGACCGTTTGTGACTCCGGCGTTGATCTCAAGCTATCAGTTATTGTAATCTCATGATTCATCAGCGACGCATTAATACATGGGGCATATTGCATAGTAGCAGTCGTATCATCTTCATCAGTTTCTTCTTCATGGCCTTTAGTTGTCACAGGATAACGACAGGTTTGACCTTCACCATCTGGATGCTGCATAAGGACGTCAAAATGCAATCAAAAAACGCGATTGATTACACAAGAACTCACCGATGGAGACGGAACATCGTATTGTAAAAGAAGCCTTTCACAATGGCGTTTCCAATCTCTACGGGTAGGCTCTCCTTTAACATCACCGAGTGACGAACAATACCATGACCGAGAGCGTTGTTCTGGCGGCAGTTCTATATGGCTGTCAGCCTATGAGAAAGAAACTATACGACCGTAAGTCATACCAGCACAGCAATCCTATAATGTTCATCAAACAGCAAATTCAGTCTCTTTGCCTCTCTCAGTGCTTCCTTCACAAGCCGAGGAACGTAAGTCCTCTTGAGGTAGTTCCTCAACTTCTTGAGTGCCCGCCTCTTCTGAGCCGCGGCCCATACCTGCCTGCACCCCCACCGCATGTTCTCCAGTCTCTGTCTTTTCCGCCTTGCAGCTGCCGGCGGCCTGCGCTGCTCTTCCGTGAACGTGGGTTCTAGGCGCGGTATAGGCTGGTCTGGATTAGGATTAGGGTTGATCGGTGGCCGTCGGGGCATGGGTAGACTCGGAAATGATTAGGCGGGGCGTGTGTGGTGGAGTAGGGCAGTATGTCTTTAATTCTTCTATCTAGCCAGGTGTATGCAGTATCAGTGAAGGCAAAGGGAGTGTACGGACATCGTATGCGCCAACTCACGTTTATAGTCCTGCAGTATCGATCAAACCACAACCACCAACCACCGTTCTCACCTAACGGCCAAGGCGGGTGACGTTTATCTCGATGTCTAGACCTGCGGATAAGCGTTAAAGCGACCTGCGCGAGCTTCCGCTAAGGTGGTTGTTCCTTAGAGTCTCATGGGGCTCAGACAGGTCATGGCCTTTGTACAGCTAATGCACCTTTCCTACTGTGTACCTATGATATGTGTGTGCGTGTCGGGCTCGGTCAGAGGCTGCATCTTGTGTGGTTATTCTACTCTATTGAAGGCTTAATCTCTGTTGCATGGACACTGCATGAGGCCCCTTGCGCGGAAAATGTAGCGGAGGTCCGTTTTCTGTGTGTCAAGAGCTTGCGGGTTGCGTAGGTCGATGTACTAGAATCCGATCGTACAACGGTCAATAGGCGAGTGCCATCGATGTTGAGTAAACACTACGAGGCATCTTCAGCATGTGGAATTTTTACGAGAGGATGATGCGGGCGCAGCTAACCAAGTAGTAAACCATTGTTCCCCTTTGCGTTGCATCACTTGCGTCGGAACGCCGCATCGACGTAGCGGCGGCCGGCGGCCGGCGGCGGTGCGTAACACTCACCCGGCATTTATCCTCCACATCTCCAACGTCTGGTAATATCCGAGTTCATTTGTGGGGAATCATATCTGGAAACCTATCATATCGTCGACGTAGACCCAGCACCTATGCGCGCTCGCTGGCGGGAGTCCCTCCTACCTTCATAACAAAAATTCTGATCATTTTTGTACGTTATCTATCATTGGTACTTGATAGCCATGCTGACATAAACTGAGGCAGCACCATATTCAATGTTGTACCCTGGCCCAAGCGAGCTTGAGAAGCACTTGCACCGGTCGCCGTCGACACCAAACCCTGCGCGAGCACAATGTCATCCGTCGATTGTGCCGCAAAGCACGCAACACCGCACCGACCACTACTCACGGTGAGCTCCACACTCTCCACAATAATCTCAAGTGGCGCTATCTCGGCTTTTTGTACAACACTTTTCTCACATTCAAGGATCACGTTACTTTTTACGCGAACAAGGCAGTCAAAACTGTACGCTTCATGCCCATCCTCGGCGACTCCATACGTGGTCTCCTCCCATCTCTGAGCGTACCCTCTACATTTCTAATGTGCGTACCCTCACATGGTTTGGTACTCCCCCCTCATCAGAACCTCTCACGCGCCCAGACCGCCGCCCGTGCGCTGGATTACTGGCGCGCTCCGCACATCTCCCTCTCGCAGTTTCAATATCGCCGCCTTGCTCCTCCCTTCTGACGTCTACCTCAAACAACTTCATCAACGCAGTACCCTCCGCTTATGCGCCCTAACATACACACATACTTTCACAAGCCACCAATTCCCACCTCGGTCGTATCGCCAACTCCATAGACGCCTACGCCGCCGACATACGCAATTTCCGTCGCAAGGCCAACCTTCCGCTCCAAGAGCTCGCCCAGTTCAAGTCGACCGCCGACGAAGAATTTGCCACCGTTTACAACGAGCGCCCACCCCGTGCACGTCTCATCGACATTTCCGCGGACCGCATCGTGCTTGATACAGACGTGGCGCACAAACACCGTAGCCTCGACTGCGACGATTGGCTCGCCGGGTGGGAAACCAAGCTATCATCCATTGAGGATGACCCCACGCAGACTTATGCCTTCGCGGACGGGTCCGCTCTGCCAAACAAACAATCTCGCTCGACGGCGAGGCTCTGCGCTCAATGCGGTCGCACCCAGTCCGCGGGTACGGTCATTCTGACGGGCCGCTGCTCACCCTTCAATGTCGAAGCATTTGCTATCAACCTGGCTATCAATGCTCTCACGAACCTCAACGACGCCTCCGATATCCACGTCTTCGCCGACAATAAGTTGCGCCTGAAGTCACTGTCGATACTCGCCACCACTCTTCGCAAATACTCTCCCCCTCAAGTCCTGCAAGCTGCTTCAAGCCTGGCCAGCCGCAAATCCTGGCCACATTGTCCTCCACTGGTGCCGGGGCTACGTCGGCATCAAACTCAACGAACTAGTCAAACGCACCCCGACCACATTAGCCCTCAACACCCACCGTTCCCAAGCTTTCTTATATACCTATTATGCTCCATTTTCATGCTCTCCCCTCTCTTCCTTTTTCCCCTCTCTAAAAACACTCTGTTTCTCTACTATACTCGGAGCTCCGGCTCTCCCTACCCACGGGGCACACCACTATCTCCCCCATCTGTCTTGTCGCATACACACTCAAGTACCTACAAACGCTCCCACAGGATCCCTCACCCCCTACTGTACTCGTAGAAGTACGGGTCGCTTCATAGGTCGTCAACGACCCCCGACCGGCGACTAGAAATAAGCTGATTATCTCTCTCCCAAGCTTTCATCCTGCCGGAACTCCAAAACAACTTCGTCGCCCGATGGCGTAAACGTAAGGGCACGGCATACCGCGGCCGCCAATTCCTCACTGGGGGGGGACGACTTAACGTGTTGGACCGACTGAAAACCATGAACGTGCTCCTGAACCTCGCGAGAGGTTTGAACGCGACCACGGCTAGGTTCACCCGAGCCATGAGAAATTACACGCATACGAGCGAGTTTTGCGCGCAATTTCTTGCGCGTGAATCCCAACTTTGTGACTGTGCTGTCTTCTCAGACATTCGCCAAAGTCCACCACCTCCTATTTTTCTGCCCGCGATACATTCGCCCTGACCTTTTCAAGTTCATTATTCGCCAAGCCAACGACCCTACACCTTTACTATATGAGTCTGTTCACACGAACAAGCACGCCCTTACGTTCGACGACGCCAGCATCGACCGTTAAATATCGTTCGCGACACATTTTCAACCCTCTCGGTTCTACATCCCCTTGACCTAAACTGTGTTGTGCTCTCGGTCCCGTCTCGACTGGCTCACTACGTTCCGGAGTATTCACCGCCTCTGTCGGACCGTCTCCATGTACGTTACATACTACAGAGCTCCTGGACCCCCGTTCGGCGCTCTATCAATTTGGCGCTTCTGCGGCGCTTTGAATCACAAAAAAGGAAGAAGAGACGCCACACAGACACTCGCATCTATCGCCAACTTTGGTGAAGCTTGACTATGCATCTCGGTTCAAAACCTGGTCGTGACGTGATCGCTGTGTCAACATGGCAAGCTTTCATCATGTTTTCTGGGAATGGGGTCCTCCCGTTGTCGCTCCGCGAAGGCGCGCCTGGCTCTAGACCATCATTATTGTCCCGACGACCCGACCGTCTTCGTGAATTGGACAAGTTCTTCATTCACCGATCTTATTTACCCGCCCTCGCCCACTACCCTCTCCACTACACACTCTAAGTACCGTTCGACGACCTTCATGCACCGGATGCCAGCAAAGAAAGTTGTGCTACTAGAGTACTTGTAGCCCATGAAAGTGCAATACTCGACCAATCGCAAGACATACGGGATGATGAAAAAACTGCAACGCTTTCCACTCGAGTACAACTACCGGAAGCAACATCGTACGCTGGCCGTCATTGAAAGCACCGACATCCGCATGCTATAATACTCTACAGGATATCCACATGCTCTCTCAAAAATTTCACAGGTGGCGTAGCGCTTCCCACACCGACTTCTCCAGCAAGCCCGATGGCTAGGGATTGGTTTCATATCACTGACCACATCCTCACAACCCATCTACCGCCCTCTCTCCCTCTTCCCTTCTCTGGACTCTCCACAGCCATTCTGTTTGCTTACTATACACGGAATCTAATCTCTCACTTGCTCTATACGCAAACAGAACTGTGTGACGTTTGCAACTCGCTCGGAAATCCGCGCCCATCTATTCTACACAGCGTACAAAACGTTCTGTTGTCTATGCAAATATTTCCTTCGCGTCTATCCGATGGAGCGCTGCAAGTGACACGAGACATTACGACTTCTATGAGCACGTTCTTTGTGCTGCATACGACGGTGTACCCGTTGAACGAGCTAAGATAATGGAGCAGCGCGACATGAGTCTGATGACGGGAGACTAAGCTAAGGTAGGGGTAAGATCGAGGACGGAGAGCGACCATCAGGCAGTCTCACTGGGGATAGACCTCTGATTCAAACCCAGCCACGCAGTGACAATACGGGAGCGAGGGCCATTTCGGTCCGGCCTTGTGGATCCATCCCATGACGGAACGTCAAAACCACGCGAGAATCGAGCTGTCACAGTATGAACGCACGGAATACCCATATGGGGTCTAGTAATGACTGGATCCTGGTCAAATACTGTGAGTTGTTGCGTGAAGATACCTTCGGAAATGGAAATGGGGACCCTGTCTCCCGAGCACACTTCCTGTCAACGATCCATCCCAAAATTCTCAGTGCTTACCCCTGTTTGATCTCTCGCAACGGCACCTATACACGGGGAACACGGGCCGATTTTTTCGCCACGAAAAGCGCCGATATAACTACAAATTTTATTTTCTCATCTACCCGCACCTCTGTACAGATCTCGCAGAGCCAATATGAGCTCAGCATACCACTCAGAGGTCACCCTCAGCTCTACTGCAATCTGCATGGAGGCAATACACGCGCTGTAGCGAGAGCTGGCGGGGGAGCGCGGGAAACATTTCTACTTTTATTTGGCCGTTTCTTAAATAAAAGCGGCCGATGTTCCCGGTGATACGCCGGATGACACGAGGCGTGTCCTAGGCGGTAACTCAATAGATATACGTCAAGGTGATTCCTCAGCACCCCACCATCCAACATCGCCAGAAGGCACTGCGACCCACTCGCCAAGTCAAAATGCGTTGAGGGATGGCAGTGCTAAGGACACTAAAGATACAGCGAGGAATAGATGCCTTGCCAAGGATTCAAACGCAGTTAGTCAAGCAGAACAAACACCTCAGAAGGGATGTCCCTCTACAACACATGGTTTTGGATTAGAATTTACTAGAAAGAATCACAGAAAGTTTGACGGGCAATGCTGGAAGCTTACGAGTGCTGGGCTAGTCCGCAGAAAGCGTGCAATGAGCTAGGGAATCTCATCACGGCGTTTCAATTTGTGATTGTCCGCGACAATCAAGATATCGTAATTGATTAGTGTGACACTTTTTAACCTGCCCCTGGATTTTAGAGTGAGTTGACGTTTGGATGAAGACATATACTGGGCGTTTTACACCAGACTTACGGTGTATAAAACGAGAGCCCGGGCGGAGAGCACAATCTTCGTCTGCAGCCAGCCCCGTGAAGCGGTGGACGACACAGTTTCGACAATGCAAACACATGATCCAGATGTTCACGGAAATGCCGCCAGCAATGGACCTTCCTTGCAGCAATCTTGGAGCTTGCGTGATGAGCACGATGCGCAGGCTAGCTGTATTATTATCAGAGACGTTCTGAGCGATAGCAAAGATTTACTACTGGCGCGGCGGCCATCTGACTTTCCTTTGATTGTCAATAACATCTGCTTATTCTTTGATCGAATGTTTCCCGACGAGATACATAAAGTCTATATCATCAGAGCTGAGCTTCACATCGTATTGATGAACGCGATCATGGACGACAATTTCTTTGACGCCTGTGGAGTGAGCGTTTCAGTCATTGTCATATCCTCTACGGTGAGCGATTGATGTATAAACAGACTTCGGTTTTCTTGCATACGGCGGGGGCTTTGCAGCGCATAATAAGCTGGGCAGCAAGACTGTATACCTTGCTTAAAGAAGACTCTAAACGGATCATTTCGAGAACCGATCCTTTGTGGAGATCCATATGGAAGAGGTGCAAGATGACGGGTACTGGGAGGACCCTTTACCAGACCCAGGACGGGGGCGAGTTCGACGTCGTGTTCTCCCTCTTGCGATCATTCACGAGTCTACACGAGGCTGCGTATGCTATTCCCGCATTGAGAAGAAAGGCTCTCAACTGATGTGCTCTGTGCGCTTTAGTGAGACACCTATTCGGTTCAGCTCCTGTATGGCTCACTGTGCATTGCACTGCTGGACGACAGGTCCGATCGGTGCCACAGTTATTGAGGCATACTACGCGGGCATAACCATCGCAATGGGAACACAGACAGGCAGCGATACAGACGCTTCAGAGTTTATTGAAGATGCCGTGTTTCACGGTGTTGGCTTGGAGCCGCTACTGACCTGTCTTGACAGAAGCGTGAAGGCGGCAAAAGAGTGGCATAATCAAAACTTAGAGGATCTTTCTCCTCTGCCCATCCTATTGCTTTTGCTTGCCCGTTACTCCGAGAGAATATACCAGGAGCTCATGCGACGTCGGATTATGCAGAGTATTTTTGATATAGGGAGAAAAAACTGCAAGGTCCACGCTTCACAAAGGCACGCCTTGTTTTTCTTCGGTATGTTCAAGCTTCACAGGTGACATTTGATCTCTGGTCGGTCGGAACACACACTAACGCTTGAGACAACTCACGTGTAGTCTCTGCAGACGGTATATGGTCAAAACCAACTCATTCGCTGAGACAGTATGTCTACAAGGTCGGGATGTGATGAATGTCTATGTTTGCGGAGTGTATTTTGCGGCGTACCACAGAAACGCTTCTATCCTTCGATGTGAGTTTTTCGCTGGCTTATTTATCCAAACTCATGCGTACGGATACAGCCTATGAGTCAACGGAATGGAATATGGACATTGTAAAGGATATCAGAGTAGATACGACGATCATACGGCAGTGCGAGATGCGTTCTGCGGGTGTTCTTCGACCCGGTATAAGAGCGTATAAGACCGAAATTATTCCGGAGCTCAAAATCATATCCGAAAGGGAGTGGCATCCAGTTTGGCACTTTTTGGAAGCTCGCCTGGAAAAGTTGCATGGACGTAGAAAGAGCGGAAAAAAGGCATCGAAGGCCCTTGGGGAATACGCAAAGACCATTTTGGAACTTTCAAAGGCCTGGATTGTGTTTGGCGTGCAGCTCGAAATTGACATAGAGAACGGATGCACGCATCCTTCGCGGTATCGATGCTCGTGGGCTGGCTGCGGCCGTCACCGCTCCTACGGCCCTGATAAGATGAAAATCTGCAAACGATGTCGGTCTGCGTACTATTG